ACCCCGCCCGGGGGTCTTTAAAGGGGGTGTTTATGGGTTGTTTTTTGGTGGTGCTTTTTTTTTTTTTTTTTTTTTTTTCTCTCTCCATGAATGCCGAATGCTAAAAGTGTCTTCTCAGGAAAAATAAATAAATAAATAAATAAATAAATAAATAAATAAATAACACAAGCAAACACACACACACACACACACACACACACACACACACTCCCTCTCCACTGTGACATATTTTTCTTATATTTCGTGAGTGTTAGGTCTTTCAGTTTCACTAACGTCCATCAGCAATATGTCTCATGAACACATTTCAGTACTGGTATCTTGCGCCACTGAATAAAGTTCCCCTCGCGGAGTCTGAGCTGTTTGCTGTAGGTCTGCGTAAGCGTTTGGTTTTTATTCCATTTTGTCACGCAGCATATTCTCCTAACTCTCGCCGTCAAGGAGCGACCATAAATTACATCTAATGCTCTCTCCTCTCCTGCGCTGCTTTATACAAACGAACCAGAGTCCGGTCGCCCCTCACTGCAGGGGCTAAAGCAGACAACTCTCTTCTGTATTTTCTAAACGGAGAAAAAAAAAAAAAAAGAAAGAAAAAAAAAGTTGAATGATATCGTTCAAAAGCATTTCAAAGCGTTCAAAACCGAAATCAGTTTCATCTAGATTTATTTGTCTTGCAAACTAACCTCGGAGTTCATAAGGAGACTTTGCCCAACTTTTAAAAAGTACATTTTCAAGTTCATTCACTTTGGAAGTCTCAAATAGGGACGCCACTGTGTGGCCTAAAACCTGTGAGTTTTCATAGAGCGGTGGCAACAGAAAAATAAAACATAATTTGTGAATGTCTCTAAATATGATTCGTATATCTAATAAATTTGCTTTTTTTTGTCTTTGATCAACCACTTTCCTACAAAAGTTTAAGCTAACTGCACTCATTTGAGACATCAGTGAGTTTGTGTCCCACTAACTAAACAAAGCGGTATAAATGCAGTGCATAATTACTGTATTTATAAACTCTTAACCAGCTATTATACGTTATTCTGCTTAGATTGCTTTCCGACTTTAATAGTGTTGCGGGATGAGCATCTTCAATACTCGTCTGACTTTTGCTTCTCTGCTCGGCACTAACTGATAGACATCGGACAAAAATATAGCATTTTTGAGAATATTCTACGGATTTTATAAGGCTTGTGAATATAGTAAAAATTTAGCAATTTATCGTTTATAATGTCTTTATTTTTGCTCATGAGTGTTGCTTTACAGATATAAGGAAGTGACTGTGTGGACTTATAGGACCCGTCTCATAACGGGCGAAAAAGTCTCCTCAACTTTCGCAGGGAACACAACTGAGCATTAACGCGTTTGGTGAGAAGGTAAAAATCATGTGAAAATTTAAATTGTTGCAGAGCCTTTTAAATGCCATGGTGTACATGTTCGCAATGGCTTGCAAGTATATTTTCGGGTCAAAATATGCGGGTTTTCTTTTCTTTTTAAAGAACAATCCTGTGCGTTTTTACGCGCACTGCGACTGAGCTCATCCTCTACTTATTGTCCTGAAATGAAGTTCGGCTCACAGTTACCCTGTAACTGGGGCGTTTACCCCAAATGGATTAGTGGGCAGGCAGTAACAGACAGTTAAACACGAAGAGTTCCCTTGTATCTCCGTAACAACTCCCAAGGTGCGCATTGTGAGTTCTTTCAAAACTGACCTTCAATTCATGTAGATTTAATAACTAATCACAGTCCCAAATCTGCCTTTCACGCCCCCTTGTCGAGATCTATGTTCAGTTTGAACGTCCCACACAGTTCGCCAGTTAAATGACGTCTTGTGTCTGTTGATGCCACACTGTCACATCCGTGCGCTTTGGATCATCTTCCTATTGTTGTCGCAGTTATTTGAACAGTGATCCGCGACGGGCGCATGGCATGCTGAGATCAGTGCGGAGTGAAGCGCACCATTTAAACACACACACACACACACACACACGCTCGCTCTCTCTCTCCCTCTCATACACACAAACACACACACACACACACACGCAGAGAGACTGACTGACACACACAGAGTAGCGAGCGTTCACGTTGATTCAAATGTCCGCGGAGTTGCCTTACCTTCATTGGGGGGATAGATGATGAAGAAAGCAGGGACAACGCAGGACATTAGGAGGTGTAAAATGAAAAGAAGTGATCGCGGATTGCAATCCATGGCGGCGGATCAGAGGTACAGAACTCCATGAAGCCACTGACTGGTCTGGGAACGTCTTCTCTCCACTCAGCTTTCCCCCCTCTCTCCTGCTCCGTCTCTCTTCAGCAAGAGCAGTTTTCCGCTGGGTCCTACAGAGTCAAACCAACAGCAAAACACAGCGCCCAAGTTCATCACAGGTCAAGCAGAAACTGAAGTCTAGCAGGATGTTTTTTTTTTTTTTTTTATTTTACCTTTATTTTGCATATTGTGTTTCTTCTTTAAAAAAAAACAAAAAAAAAAAAAAAAAAAACTGTTTGAATCAACCTAACAAGAAATACGACCTGGGATTCAGGGACGAGCTAAAAAAATGGAGTGACATAGGAACTGCATGATGCTGTTTTGTTTTACTTTATCAACATTAGTTAAGATTAGTTAAATATGTAGTAATTCCAACTATGCATCTGTGTTATATTATAGCTTAATGAGGTTAAGAAGGTTAATGAACAGCTAAAATTTAATATTTTGTGACAACAAAAGTCAGAGGTGGACTGCAGAAAATTCTAATTAAATGTTTCTGTCTATAAATGTAATGTTCAATCTTCTGTATCACTTAAAAAAATAATTTTAATACTAAATGTCAACAGCATAACTGAACCCCTAAAATGTTGGGGGATTGTTTTAGTGAATATCTGCAAGATTATTCGTGGCTACCATCTTAATACCTCTTTGGAGATTTTCTGGAGGGACTATATAGTTATTAATTTATTTGTATTTATTTACTTGTGTGCTTCAACGTGCTTTTAAAATCCTTTTGGATTTCTGTCACTCACCTCTGACCCTTTAAAATTAATTTCACTATTCAAACACCTTAGTGAGCGTGATGAAAAAAAAAAAAATCATGTCAGCTTACTTTCGGTACACTCAGTCTTTATGTTTTCAATTGAAGGCAGCAATGAAAAGCTTGGTCTTAAACATGTTCAGCTAAATTCATTCATTTTGTTAGATTCTCAGTTTATGATAGTAAAACTAATATGTTGGTTATCTTAGCACACCAGCTCAGCAAGGGTGAGGACCTGTCATGAGAGTAGTGGTTGATAATGTTTCTGCATTATAGAAATACGTTTAATTTGTAACCAGCTTAGCAACAATGCCAACAATAGAGTCAAACCATGACGCGGTCACTACAAATGACAAAACACATCTTTGCTGTGGTTAGTATTTCAGTCCAAGTTAATGCTTTGATTGAGCAGTTATGCTCCTGTTATGGCTAAACTTCCTAGCAGGCTAATCAGGTGATATCCATTTATTTCAATAAGAATATTTTGTAGTCTGGGGGCCATTTAAAGGCACAGCAAAGCAGCAAAAACATAAACACAATCACAGAACTGAACTTAGCATTCAAAGAACAACACATTTTAATTGCTCTAACGCTCTTTTTTTAATTGAAATTCAGCTATTTCACTTGTGTATCTTTTTAAACATATTGTTTCTAAGATGCACTTCAATTCCTGCATCATCAACAACAGAATTCATGGGACAAAATCTTATGGTTTGTTTTTTGCAGTGTAATCCAACTGTCTGCTTGAAGTTTTTTAACCCAATACTTTCACTTCTATAGAGTTGAAGGTTAAAAATAAGTAACTTATAACTTTTTTTTTTAAATTAAGAAAAAACCACTTTGTTATAGTTGTTAAAGTAACAGCATGAGAATAAAAGTGACCCCAAAACGTTTTGAATACATTAATTTACACACTCATTTCATGAGATGTTTTGCCATGTTGAATCTGTGATCTAAAACAAACCAAGGGAAGTTGATATTTTAGTTTTGCATTGGATGTGTTTTTCATACTGCCGAGATTATATCTTTTAACTTGTCATACTAATTTCATGAAGGGGCAACGTTTCATTCATTGCTATGTTGAAGGACATGTGATATGCATGTGGTCAGGTCTACTGTGGACAATTCTTTGAGAAGACCATTAGGGGCCCCCAACATCACAAAGCTTGTTGTATCCTGAAAGGCTTGGGTGGCAGTATAACGTCAGGGCCCTTGCTGAGACACCAGCTGTTGTGGTTGGGGGTTGGAGCTGGAGGTTAAGGCAAGGCATGTGATATATGGGAAAAGCTAAAGGACACAGCACACTGTGAACACAACAATATAGTGCCATTTGGACTTTGAGAACTCACTCCAAAATTCATATGATCTCATTAGCTTACACATGGACAAAAACGACATGTCTAACCACATATTAATCATTGTTACATATATATATATATATATATATATATATATATACACAGTACAATTTAACACAGAAGTTTATCCTCTTCTGTCTGCCTTTTAATTGGGATTCTCGTGCCACTAGAATGACATCTGGCACTGCAGCTTTTTAAAATCGTTAGTTCAATGTATATGTGCACATTGTGGAATAATGGAAAATGTTTGTAAACATAATCTGTTGCGCAATGATGCAAATTCAAGACAGTACTAAATATTCAGATTTTTAGTGTGTTTTCAGGTTACGTTCAAGAGCCCTTTGGATTCAACTGCAGAGTTTCACAGCGTGCTTCATGGAAATATGTGATAGATGCAGACTACTCCATACATCTAATTATGCTACTGCTAATCTTATACTAACCATTATATTATAAATTATTTAAGGCTTCAAAAACCATGCAATTTTGTTGAAGATGATTGCTAAACCAATCACGCCATTTCAAGCAAACAGTCCATGTTTGAAATTTTCAGTTGTTTGTTCATCATCCCCAGGTCAACGTGTTCAAGCACCATTTATTTTTAAGTGCTGAATTTTTACAGTGTATTTACTGTAAATTTTTTAGACCAACTACCTTAATAGCCAACAAAGAGTACCAACTGTAAGATTCACAGCTCTTGAGCTTGTGGTGAATGCAGAGAATAATGATGCGAGTGCTCTCCTTGCTACATTATTAAATGACCATGGCATGTGGATTTACAGCAGGTTTTAGACACGCCAGCCTTCGTCATACATCATCCTCTACATCCTACTAATTCACTTATTATACAGAGAAAAAGATTAATATGAGAGGCCACACAGCTAACAATCAATTCAGAAGATTGATATTCTGGCAGTGAATGTGCCATGACTTATTTCTACAAATATATTATGTATGTAAGCAGAGAACATATCTCGATGCAGTTGCAAAGAAAGCTATTGTGCTTTGTAAATAGTTTCACACTTTAGGCTTTTTCACCAAATAGCTGTCATTGCAATTGGATTATATTAAATTCACATGATTTTTTTTCTTTAGCTTTGAGATTACGTCTGTAGGTCGATGGTTGCACTGGATTTTGTTTAGTGGTATGAGAGTAAAGGTGGACTGAATACAAATACACACTCTTAATTTTATAGTTTTTGTTCTTAAAACATTTTTAAAATCATCATTTATTGTTACATAAAATTTTGCACTACTTTGTGTTTTGGCCATAATAATGTAAATAAGTATATCGATGTGTGGCTTTATTATGCCAAAATGTGAATAATATTCAAAGGGGGTGTTTACTATTGCGATGTTCTTTAATTTAGATTTAGTGGGTTTTTTTACTGTTAAGGATCACAAAAACATTTGAGGTAGTTAATTAGCTGTAAATTGTGATGAAAAATAATGTAGACAATCTTTTTGTGACACAGTAGGAAAGATCATTACCAGCCATTTCTGATAATGACATACGAGTGACATGGTGTGGCGTTGCTTTGGAGAGAACTTTGAGCTGACAGCCAAAGATAATAAATTGTAATTGTTTTTCTTTGGTTGTCTGAGAAGCTGTGTCAATGCTTTTAGTCAATAAACCAAGTCAGTCCCAACTAATTGCTGAAAATCTGTTTCTTATTGCGGTGAATCGGAAGAATGTGATGGGTCCCTCCCATCCACATCCACTCCAGCATTTTCTTTTTCTACTTTTCTCAAAGAACGCTTGTCCATCTTGATCTCCTGCCAGTGGAACAATCAAGTACGAAAAGGAGGAAAATATTGATTTACAGCCACAATTCGAAGTCGTGGTGTGTCCCGACAAGGCTGAATAGCGCTCCAGACTCATGGAGCAGATGTTGTTTAGGAGCAGCTTTGAAGCTGCCATGTCCTGGCCCTCTTACACAGTAACGCGCAAACAAACAAACACATAAGCTGACTGTGTTTACTGCTTGCTGTCAGTGCTCTCTTCCTCCCTGCGGTTCTAAGGGCAGTGCATTCCTCCATACTTGCGGGGTTGCGAAGGAGGAGAAGCCAGCAGGCTGCTGGCGTGTAACACTATCCCCCCACAGCAAACATCGTACTAGGAACGCTTTCATATGTTTGCCAGCGCCACAACTCTTCATCCATTTTTCATCTTTTCTTTTCCTTAAAGCGCTATAGGAGATTCTGAATCTAAACAAAAGTGTAGAAGGTATTACACTATTTTGGACTGGAACAATGAAACTGTTTTAATGCTTTATGGGGTAATTTCACAGGAACATGTCTTGGTTAGATGAAAATACAAGTTTACTTCAATTTGACATAATGTTCAACTTATCTTATTCAAAATGAGCCAGACCGAGTGTGACCATTTATATGGAAAAAAAAAAAAAAAAAAAAATTAAGTGCCCCTCTGTTTTCCGTATTTGGACCAGTGATTAATTAGGTTATGGTTCATGAGCAAATCCCCCCCAACTCAGTCACAGAGAGATAGTCTTGACAGGACTGACCAGCCAGCCATAACAGGGCCGGACACAGCCGACTCATTTTCTGCGACATCTCATCTCCCAAAACTACATCGTATTTTTACACCTCGACTAGATTTTAAAGTTATGAGACTAATACTATAATAGCCAAAATGTGACGGAATGGATTATCCTACACCAAAAAACCCCCAACAAGGATAAGCAGTGAGTGTTTGCACCTTTTCTACTTAATTATTGGCTTCCTATGGCTCATGAGCCAAAACACTTGTTTACATTGCACAAGTCATTTTTTAGTCACCATAAAATGTTATTTTATGTAAAAATATTTTTTGTTTATTTAGGTGCTAGTTTTTTCATGAAGTATTTCATGAAGGAACCTTAAGACTATAACTATTTCTGGAAACCTGAAGTTTGATTATTGTTGTTGTTATTGTTTGTTTAATATTGTTTAGTTATTTACAGGTTAATATTTGTTTTTAATGTCACTTTACAGCGTTACCTTAAAAAAAATA